ACAATGGAATATTATTCAGCAATAAAAAGAAGTGAAGTACTGATAAATGCCACAACATGGATGAGCTCTGAAAACATTATGCTAAGTGAAAGAAGCCAGGCATAAGGTCATATATTATACGATTTCATTTCTATGAATTATCCAGCATAGGCAAATCCGTGAGAAACAAAAGTAGGTTAGTTGTTGCCAGGGGCAAAGGAGAGGGCAGGAATGGCAACTGACTCCTTAATGGACATGAGGTTCCTTTTGGGATGATGAAAATGTCTTGGAACCACTTAGAAGTGATGGCTACACAGCATTATGAAAGTACTAAGTGTCACTGAATAGTATACTTTAAAAAACGTCTCGGCTGGGCACAGTGGCTCACGCCTGTAATCCCAGCACTTTGAGAGGCCAAGATGGGTGGATCACCTGATGTCAGGAGTTCAAGACCAGCCTGGCCACATGGTGAAACCCCATCTTTACTAAAATTACAAGAATTAGCCAGGAGTGGTGGCGTGTGCCTGTAATCCCAGCTACTCAGAAGGCTGAGGCAGGAGAATCACTTGCACCCAGGAGGCGGAGGTTGCAGTGAGCTGAGATCGCACCATTGCACTCCAGCCTGAGCAACAAGAGTGAGACTCCGTCTCAAAAAAGAAAAAAAAAAAAGCTTAATTTTATGTTATGTCAATTTTACTTTCATTAAAAAGAAACATGTAGCTCAGAAAAGCAGTTAGTAAATGGTGCCTTTACAACTACTTATTATGATTATATTCCCTTCCCACTGGAGATCAGCTTTTCCCAAAGGCTGAATGGTAAGATATGTTAGGAGGTCCCACAACAGGAAGTGCAGAGATGGAAGGATGAAGGAGGAGCGGGGAGACTGTGGCAGGTTTGGTCTTTCCCAACCCTCTAAGCACTCACTGTGTTAGGGACATCCTGTGTGGATGAGTAGACTGGCAGGTAGAACCATCTGCCCCCTGCTGCCTGGGGCAGGACCACAGGACAACACTGGCAGACACAGGGGTGCAGATGGGAAGATGCTTTTTTGGCACAAGCCATGGACTTAGGTAGTATGACCTGCGCCTCCCACTGCCTGGCAACACAGCCAGCTCACCCAGGCTGCTGTCTTCTGGGTGTCAGTTGCACAGTTGAACACTCCTGATGATGTGCTCCATGGCTTCGGTCAGGGTTCAGGATTCGTGTCTCCAAACTCTAAGATCAGGGACTGGAAGAGGCCTTAAAGCCCTCCATCCCTTCTTATTTGGCAGATGGGGAAACTGAGCCTTGGGGATGTGGTATCAGCTTGCCATATTCCTTGCTCAGCCACCCTTCTCTGCAATAGAGACTGGAATTTTGGTCATCCCTTTGCTGTAGTACTCTATCTGCAACCTTTTGGCTTTAATAGTTTATATCTTGACAAAACGACTTGACCTGGGGCAAAAGATTAAACAGGAAGCTCGGGAGTGTTCATTTTGGGGAAACAGCATGGCTTTTGAGGAACAGCAAGAAAGCTTGGACAGCCCAGGGCAACCCCATCTTGTTAATAATAATAATGACTTCCATGTTTTTAAGGTAGTTACATGGTGGTCAGCACATAGATGCCAGAACCAGTCTGTCTGAGTTTGAACTCTAACTCTCCACTCATAAGCTGCATGACTTTGGTTAAAAGGCTTAATCTCTCTATGCCTCATTTTCTTCATCTGTAAAATGGGAATCATAATGGTATATATAAAAGCTTCCAGAATTTTGCCCAGCACATGGTAGGGACTTGATAAACGACAGTGATTATAATTCCTATTGCTGATATTAATTAGTATAATTACCTGGGGAAACCTATATGAATATGCTGACATTTGCCAAGGACCACTTTCCAGAAGCAACAAACTGCAGAACCAACAGGGTCAACAGCATGCCTTTTGAAAAACTGGCCACAAATTGCATTTTTACAAAATCTAATTTTCTCATTCACCTCTTATTTGGGAAATGCTTTGTCTTTGAAATCATGTGAGGACTCCGTCTTGGCTTGGCAGGTACTCTTCTGGCTTTCAGGCGTGAGCTTGCTGTTTCCTTTGCCTGGAACATTCTTACCTCCTACCTCCACCCAGACATCTGTGTGGCTACCTTTAGCACTTCCAGCACTTCCTTTCCCAGAAGTCACCTTCTCAGTGAGCCCATCCCTGGGCACCCTGCTCAAAATCTCAGCTACCCTGCCCCTACACTTCATACCTGTCTTCTCAGCTTTGCCTTTTTCTTCTTGGCACCTTGTCTGACATACCATAGTATTTATTTTGTTGGTTACCCACTCCCAACTGGAAGGTCTTTGAGGTCAGGGATTTTGACCATTTTGTTCATGATGTTTCTCCAGCGCTCAGCACACATCTGAGCTCACAGTATGGACTCAATGACTGTGGCATGTATTCGTATATAGGTGGGAAGGAGGATTTCCTGGTGGGTTCTGATTTTAGAATTCACCTGGTACAGCTGAGCTTCACTGAGCTGCTACCCTGTGCCAGCTGTGGGCAGTGCCTGACATCTGCCATTTCACTTCATCTTCACAGAAGCCTTATGAACGGGAAAGCTAGGGCTTAGAGAGATTAAGAAACTGATCTGGTCACCAGCTTATAGGTGGTAGAGCCTGAGGACTGTGCTTTCTTGTCCTAGACAGAAAGTGCCGTCTTTGCCCTCCCCTGTACGCAGCCTGTCAGGGAGGCCTCCCTGGGTGGTTTCTGAGCTGGCTGCTTTGCAGGGCTAGAAGACCCATCCCTCCTCACCTGTCTGTGTCTGTGGGCGGCTCTTGGCAAGGGCGCTGTGTCAGGCGGCCCAAGTGCTTTCAGCACTTGGGGGTGGCAAGCCAATTAACTGGCCTGCTGAGCAGTTGGTGGATGACTGGGGATTGTCTGAAGTCTGCCTAGAACCATGGCCTGGGGCAGGGCTCCTTCCAGCAACTTCCCTGGAGAGCTGGCTGCAGGGCAGGGCCAAACCAGCCATCATGATAGGGTGAAGGACATTTTCTATCAAAAGAGGATGTTGGACAAGAGTTGGAAAGACCCAAGTTCTCATCCTGGCTTTGCCACTAGCTAGTTGTATAAAACCGAGCAAGTTCCTGAGCATTCCTAGTTCTCCCTGCTTACGAAATGTCAGCAGTGATCATGCTTACCTCCCAAACTTATTGGGAAAATATATGCAATGTGATTAGCCCAGGTGCAAGAATAAATGTTAGATATTTTTATTATCTACAGCCCCCCTCATCTGTAAAATGAGAAGTTTCGTTCAGTAACCACAGGCCTGGCACACAGTAGGTGCTCAATAAATGTTAATTCCCTCTCTTGTCCCTTATTCTTCCTTTAGCATCAGATTCCTGGCCTATGTTGTCCCTGGGGCTCCAACACTCCTGACCCTGGCCTAGAGGTTTTCTGTGGGCTCATGGCTAATGAGCTATCTTCTCAGGGCAGTGGGGCTAAGTGCTGGGGTGGCCATTCTGGAGCCATTGTATTAGAAACCCCCTCTTTTTCCTTCTTTACTTCCTTCCTTCCATCCAATTTATTTTTATTGATCAACTATTAAGTGCCAAACATAGTGAATATAGCTGTGAGCAAGACAAGGTTCCTGCTACCGTGGAGCATAGGTCCAGTTAGAATTAGGTAGAGAGAAAGGAAATGAACAACCCTGCAAGAAAATAAACCCTTTAAAAAGTAGAAAATAGAATGGTAGAATAGAAAGTGATGAGTGTGGGGAGAATAGCAAAGCCACCTTAGATGGAGAGTCAGGGAAGTCATCACAAAGGAAACAACATTTGAAGCAGGACTTGAAAGGTCAGAACAGGTCAACCATACTCAATTGGGCGAAAGGGTTTCCTGCTGAGGGAACAGCACAGGCGAAGGTCGTGAGGAGGGATGGAGCTTAGCTGGTGCCCCTGTACTTCCTAATGGGAAGTGCCCAGTAAAGACACAGCTTTGCACTTTCAGTCCAGGCAAAGCAATCAGCCTGCATCTTTAAGGGTTGGCTGCACTTAAGATCCGGGGTGCCGTCAGGATGTTCTTTTTGCAGTTAATTTGCTGCAACTGGCAGAAGTTAATCATGTCCACATTCCTCGAGGCCCCTGCCAAAGCTGGCCCCTCTCACAGATGCTGGTTTAAATTAGAGGGGTTGTTTGTGGAAGACTAGATTTAGCAGTGATTAACCCCAAACTGGTCCTATTGCCTTGCCCTCCTGATGGGCAGGTGGAAGCATGCTGGGCAAGGCTGGCATCTAGCACAAGCAGTAGATGCTTGCTCTTGCCATCGCAATGAGAAAGAAGCCCATCAGCTCTCCTCCTAAGCCTGCCTGGGCTCCTACAGCAGCCAGAATGCCAGTCAGACCCACTGTTTTCCCATCCAAGGTACTCCACACCTGGCCCTAGCCTTGCTCCTGCCTCTTCCTTGCGGTGCACACTCCTGCTCCACCGCACACCTTTGCCTGCCTTGTCTCTGTACCCTCAGGAGAAGCTCTACTCATTTTTCCAGACTGTGCTCAGATTCTACCCCCCTATACAAGTTCCTCCTTGGACACCCCTGGGGAAATTCACCTTTTCTTCCCCATTCTTCTAGTTTCTCTTTGCACATAAGCCCTTTAAGGCATCGGTCATCATCTTTATTGTGTTAGGAAGACTGAGTTCCAATTAAAGTGGGAGCTCCTGATGGCCAGGGATCCACGTCATTCATCTCTGCAGCTACAGGGCCTAGCGTGAGCTTTGGCATCTCATTCATTCAGTCATTCATTCAGCAAATGTGTTTTGAAGGTCACTGTAGCAGTCACTACGAGAGGTAAGGGAGTCACAGCCGTGGACAAGGTGTGTTCCCTGGTTTTAAGTTGCTCCTAGCAAAGAGGCCATTGTAACACAGAGGGCTGAGCAGATTATGGTGTGGACTCTAATAAGAGATGCCCAGTGGAGCCTGGGGTGGTTCAGGATGGCTTCTTTAAGTCATACAGAATGAGGAATCTGAGGCTCAAAGGAGTGAAATGACTGGCCCAAGATCTCACATCTAGTATATGGTGGAGAAAGTGCTCAAATCCAGGCCTAAGTGCCCTTTGCACACAGCCATTTGTGGAATGGGTCCTCCTCTGTCTACACTCCCCATTCCAAGCTAGCACACTCCTTTCTGATCCTCAGCCACAAAATAAACAGGTGAGGGATCAGACCCACTTGGCCAGAGACTGGGCAGCCTTGCCACATTCTAATGCAAAAACCTGTTTTCAAGCTACTTCAAACTTTTGAAGGTTATTGAAGTCATAGAGAGGCTCTCAGCCGAATCCAAGGCAAGTGAACAGATTTCCCATCTGCAGGGTATTTTGAAACAGCTTGCTTCTTACTAATGTTTTATTTGTTTGTTTTTCTATTACAAAAATAATGCATACTAATTGTAGAGAATTTGGGGAGAAAGACAAATCACCCATAATTCCACCACCCAGAAATAACCATTGTTACTATTTTGGTATATTGAGATAGTTATTTGGGGATATTACTTAGAAATTGCTATAATATATAATTGCTGTTTATTAATTTATGCAAATACATGAATATGATTTAGCTCGTTATAAAACTTACACATTCCAGTGCCTGGAAATTTCAAAGATCTGCTGCTCCCAAAGAGAGCTCTTAAACCCAACTCTGTATGGTCCTTTTCATGTGAATAACATATATCTGTTTCCGTCCCTGTCTTCTCTACCAGTCTGTGTGCTTCAGAAGGGAACCCTGAGCCTTTCTCATCATTCCCTCTTTAGTACACAGTGCATAGCAGACACACAGCACTGGATGGAATGGATGCATCTGTGGCCCGGGAAGGTGTCCTGGGGTCCTTCCATTTGGCTGTCTTAGGGTGAGAGGTGCTGGGTATATATTTCTAAGGACAGTTTCCCCTTCTCTACTGTGTTCACTAAGGAATTAAAGTATCTTACAGCAGGAATTTGTCTTTTTCATCAAGGAATCCCTGGGTGCCAGGAAGTGCCTTGCACAAAGAAAGCCCTCAATCCATGTTTGTAAAAGGTTGAATGACCTGAATAATGCCACTGTTTGGTAAATAGTGTGCATAGATTATCACCACAGCCATATGATGTGGGTCTAACCATATCTTTATTTATCACATGAGGAAACTGAGGCTCAGAGAGGTTAAGCAGCTTGTCCAATGTCGGTGTGTTGCTAACTGGCAAAAGCCGAATGTGTGGTCAGCCTCCATCAGTGTTCTGTTTGCTTCCTTCATGGCGCTGCTTTTCAGATACCTGTCCTCAGATACCCACCTGGTGAAGGAACCTGTTGGCTCGCACCCCTTCACTTTTCTAAGGCTGGGTGAAATACCACAAAGGTGGGGCCACTGACAGGGAAGATCTGCCACAAGGGCGCAGCCATCCGTGTGAGCCACCTGGCCTCTGGGCCCTGACCCGGCTCCTCCTGGGCCCCCTAGATGCGCAGTGTAGCCACTTCTCCCTCTGTGTCCTTCACCACCTATCTTTTTCACAGCTCTGTTTCCCTTCTTGTCAGCAGATCTCTCAACAAAATGTTTTCCATCACTGCTGCCTATTTTTAGCCCCTTTATCAGAGTTATTTCCTTTGGTAAATAGCTTCCTGGCATAGGGTGAGCAGCCTAACTCGGGCGCCAGCAAGCGCTGTGTGAATGGGGGTGTGGGTTGGGTGGGCATCTGGGGTGAGAGGGAAGAATAGAGGAGCCATGGACCAGGCCCCACCTTTGGGGGCTACTTTCTGTTCCAATGGTGGCAGCAGCAGCAGGAGCAAGATGCTCATTCATTCCATTTCAATTCGTTAAAATCATTCTTTGAGAAGGCAGCATGTGCACAGGCCTCGGAAGCAGACAATCAGCGACAGGCGCCCAAAATAGACTCAAAATCAGCAGCATTTTGTTTTGCTCAAGGCTTTTCATGCCTGCAAGGGGAGGAAAGAAAGGATCCAGAGCATTTTCTGCTTCCAAACACACATCTATTTTACAATAAGACAAATGACTCGTATTCCTGCTATTAAATCCAGCAGCGTCCCCTCCCCACCACCCCTTCTCTGAAGCCCTCGCCAGCATTTCCTTTTGTGGCTGTAAGAGAAGCAAATAGCAGTTCACGCATCTCCAGTGCAGAGTGCCTCTGCCTCCTCCAGCTCTGCCTGCGAGCTGGGCTTTTACAAGCTGAGATTTTCATAAATTAATGCTGCGTGTGCTGCTGTAGCTGCTGTAACGGCTTTCCAGAAGGTGCCGTGAGCCAGGCCCTGCTGGAGAGAAATGAGCCAGTGATTTGCTAGTGGAAGGCTCTTGGCCCCAGTCAGAGGTTAAGCCAGGCAGTTGCAGACGTCCTGGGCTGCTCTCTGAGTGCAGCCTGATGTCATTGAGCCTTTAGAAGGGACATCGACTTGGGAGATTCCCTGGTGATCAAGGAGGCCACTTATGCAGGGGGCGAGTCCCAGTGGGAGAGCGGGATGCCTAGACTCCAGTCCTGGCCCTGCCCTGTGGTGACATTGTGACATTATCCAGCCACCATCCCCTGGAGATCAGTTCTTCCTAGTATATACTCTGAGGACAGTAACACCTCCCATTTGTAGTACTTACAAAATGGGAATCTAACACTTATGTGTGAAATATGTTGACCATCTAGGTCAGGGGTCTGCATACTTAGGCTCGTGTGCCAAATCTGGCCATAGCATTGATAATACATTATCTATGGCTGTTTTTTGCACTACAGGGCAGGGTTGAGTAGTTGCCATGCAGAGTGGATGGCCCTAAAACCTAAAATATCTACCCTCTGGCTCTCGAGAGGAAAAATTTGCTGCCTTTGGTCTAAGTAGTGAGTCCCAGGAGAGCAGAAACCCCTCTGAGAGGTTTAGGGACACGTTCACACACCCAAGATTACTCAGCTAGTAAGTGGCCTAAATGTCAATGTGTGTGTGTGTGTGTAAGTTTCCACATCCAGGACTATCAGGGAAGTGATCAGTGGAATGTATACAGGTAGAGCCAGAATTTGACAAAAAAGAAATCCCTCCCAAAAATAAAAGCTATATGATGAGTATGTAGGTGGGTAAGCTCAGTGCCTGACTTAATGTTTCTGAGCAAGGAATCTATTCAGGCAGACTCTCCACCACCTCTGAGCTGTGTGGCCTTGGGAAAGTTTTTAACCTCTCTAAGCCTCAGTTGTCTCAATTGTCAAATGGATATAATAAGACTTATTTTACAGGACTATTATGAGAATTCAGCATGATAATTTAAGTACATGCTTAACATGGTTCCTGGCAAATATTAGGGATTCTCTCCCAGGCCTGGTTCCCTTCAGTGGTTCCCACTGCTAATGACAAGGCCTTCCTTGGTCTTCATCTATCTGCCCTTCATAACACAGCTCAAGCAGCTGGACAGAGAGAAAGAAAGGGCCCTGACAGTCATGGGTGGCAACTGAGTATAGAGGTTGAAGTGTTTTAGAATCACTAGACCTAAGTTCAAATCTTGACCCTACTACTCACTGAGCCAGATCACCTTGAGTATGTTGATTTACCTTTCCAAGCCTTGCTTTTTTCTTCTGGAAGATGGGAAGGAAATACACACTTTGTTGTAAGGCAATAATAAAGAGTAAGTGCAATGATATGTGTTAGGCATTTAGAACAGAACCTGGAACTCAGTAAGGGTAAATAGTAAGCACCCAATAAATGTTAGTTGTTATTCCCCTCCTACATGACCTGGTCTAGGTAGATTCTAGCTTTTCTGGAATTCTCAAGTGAATGATTGGCGTTGAGCATCTCTAGACCCCTCTTGGACCCTACCTTGGAGACAGGAGTCTCTGAGAAGGCTCCTGTCTATCCTGTCTCACTTAAGTGGAAAGTACTATAAAACCCAGAGGTCCAGCACATTAAACCAGCCCAGCTATGATCCTGGCATGGGGACCAAACAATATCTTTGAAAATATGTGTTTTCCTAGATAAAACCTCTAATTGGACAATTGTTTCTTTTGGCCTTATGCAGACTTTATGACTCTGAAAGCTCTTAAACAGAAAGCTCTATGAATGGGATATATTTATTTCTGTGGCACTCTGACTCGTGCTGTTGACCTGACTGGGGGGTGGGGCTTCCAGGACTTGCTAATTTCCCTTTGCCAGGTGGTTGTTACTGTGCCTGCACCCTTGGAGAGCCACAGCCAGTTGTCACTGAAACCCAGACGAAGGGCTTCTGGCTGCCTAAAAGATTGTCCTGTACCCAGATTGATTTCCCAGGAACAGAACATGGTGCTTGGGAATTTCTCTGGGAAGCATCACATTTTTCTTTAAAAGACTGAAAGTTCATTTTATCAGGGCTTTTTAGTCCTCATAGAAAACTCTTACAGTCTGGGTTAAAAGCACCTGACTTCAAGGGTGGATTCATGGCTGATGAACACTTCCTTTGGTTACCCAATTCCAAGAACTCTTCTGAAAGTAAGCAACAGAGCTACAAAGACATTTCCAGACTAAAATCACAATGACACTGACTGCACACAGAAAATGTGCTAATTAGGATAACACAAGCTTCCATAACAAGAAGGTACCACAATGTATAAAGGCACAAACACAATAGAAATTTAGTTTTCATTCACATTATAGTCCAAGGCTAACATTTCTGGTCAGTGGATAGCTCTTCTGCACCCAATGATTCAGGAATCCAGGCTCGTTCCATCTTGAGGTTCCACTGTACTAAGCAAGAGAGAGTATAGATTATGGAGGCCAATTAGCTTCAGTAAGGGAAATGTGCCAAAATTGAGGCCATAAAAAATTAAATGTGATATGCAAATAGAGTGCCATTAGGTCTAGTACCTGGTCAACCATGAGGGCTGACACTATCTTCATCTGCAAATCTCCTGCCCTTAGATCACTGTCTAGCATATAATAGGTGCTTAGTAAATGTTTGTGAAAGAAATGAATGAATGAATATCCCACCAGTTCTATTCCTTTCTTCCCTGACTTGGGTCACCTGACAGAAAGGCCAAATTCCTGGTCAACTATTTCAGGCCATTTCAAAGGTATATCTGTTGGGCCCAGAGTCCAGTGGTTGGTCAAATGTTCCTCCTTCTGCTCCCACAAAATCCTGAATTACTCATCCATTTTACAAATTGCTTTTATTAAAGAGAAATTTAAAATTATATAAATTTGGGAGTATCCAAAACAATCTGGTATATGGGTGTTTTGCCCAAGGATCTCTGATTAGAGGTTCCCTTAGAGGGCATCTAGGCCCAGAGCTGCAAAAATGACCCAGTTCATGAGCCAACCCACTTGGCAGTGGCTTCCTGGAGATGAATTCTGAAGGCAAGCATGCTGTGATTGATTAGTAATGTCTACCATAGGCAGAGAAAAGGAAAATGATAAGCAAAGTCCTATGTAACCTGCTAGACCCTATCAAGTCTAAGATCCTCATATGTATAAGGCTGAGGTTCAAAGAGAAGAAGTGGTACACAACTACCATTGGCGACATAGGTTGGAGGGCCTAGGAGGTCATTGGAGGCAGAATGAAAAAGGATAGAAAATGGTGGAAGTTCTGCTGGAAAATTCTCTTACAAATAGAGAATTTGAGAGAGCTAACTGCTAGGAACTAGCCAATGATTGTAGCTACCTCTAAGAAAAAAGAAAGGAGTCAGAGCATGGGGTATGATGTGGTTTGGAATCTTGCTGGGCTTGGTCAGCCTCATTTGTGCCAGGTTGGGGGGGAAAAAGAAGCCTGCTGTCCTTGCCCATGTTTCTTTCCATATATCATAAGGTAGTTTCGTGAACCCAGTGGGCAATAGGTAGATGGCTGGGACTCTCCTAGGCCTCTGGGGTGCCTCCCATAGAGATCTGGGCACAGAGAGCACCGTCCAGTCCCAGAGCACCATGACTCACCATACCTGGTGCTTCCTCTGTGCCTCCTCTGTGCTGGCTGCTGGGGGTCCAGAGACATTGAATCATGGCCCTCAACCCAGGTGAGCTCACAGTCTAGAAAGAGACAGAGAAGTCCTCTGTTTCTTGGATCCTAAGATGATATTGGTTACAAAACAGTTTATCAGTTTAATGACAGAATTTTAGGAAGACAAAAAAGCAAACAAAAAAACAACCGACCAACCAACCAAACAAAAAGAAATCTCCCGGCTTAACCCGAGGCAGATTGTAGGAGCTATCCTGATTTTACCAAAGGAAAAATGGGACCACCTACATGATTTTTAATCAAAGAAATAAATTCAATCAGTGGTTACAATACAGAGTGATCTGTGCTGTGATGTGGAGAGTGCTGGGGAAGGTGTGGTTGATTCTGCCTTGGAAGGGAGGTCAGGAAGGTCAGGGCCCTGGAAAAAGGACATTTGAGGAGGAGTATGCCAGGCTGACAAAGCGGGAAAGGGATTCCCAGCAGTGGGAATGGCATGGTCAAAGGAACAGGGCATATCCATATCCACAATAGCAAAAGCATGTGTAGGTGAGCCTGGATAGACAGACAGACAGACAGCATGAAAATGGCGAAGGGCCTCTACGTATCTAGAGCAGCCATTGGGAAGTGAGGCTCCGGCCAAGAGAGAGCCATAGCAGCTTTCAGAACGGGGGCCCAGAAGCCGATCAGCCATCACAGCTCTATCTCCTTCAGCTGCTCCCAGTGTGGGAACACAGATGCTTGATAACCAAGGGATGGTCTATTTAAAGCCACCTGTAAGTTGGTTCGAGAAGGCACACTGTAGGGTAGAGAAGGAGAGAGGGAAGGGGAATGTCAGGAGGAAGAAGCATGCGAGAGGGCTCAGGAGGCGGGATTCCAGCCTAGGCTCAGCCCTGAGCTCACCGTAGGGCCTGGGGCAAGTTCCTGCCTCTCTCTGTGCCTCAATTTCCTCAGTCTCAGTCTCACGCAGTGGTGAATTGTGTAGGCTCAGGAACAAGGTGTGTGGGTCCCAAGCTAGGCTTCCTCACTTGTGATCTGCAAGCATTGGTCAAATTACTTAACCACTGTGCCGACGTTTTCTCCTCTGTAAAACTGAGATAATAATAGTACCTACCTTTTAGAGTTGCTGCGAGGATTAGATGAGGTAATGCATGTAAAGCATTTATAGCGGTGCCTGGCACACACTAAACACTCAAAATCAGCTATTTTTAAAATTATGATATGATGATGGTGTTGGACTAGCTTAGTGGGTTTTAAACCTTAAACCTTGGAACCTTTCTCCTAACATATTTGGAACTTCAGTGGGTGAAAAAGGTCACATTGAGCTCTTTTGGTTGGAAGGTGGAGACTCTGAGCCTTGCCACTTTAGCATCCCCCTTACCCAGGCCTGCCTCCCAGCTCCCCGCACCCCAGGCATCTCTGCAGAACCTTTAAGCTCCAGGAAACCCAGATTGAAAGCAATTATCCCAGAGGATCTCTGAAGTCCTTTTCAGTTGCTCCTTTTATCCAATTCTTGCTTCAGACACTTGAGTTTATATCTGGAAGAGCTTTCTTTGATAGCTCAAAAATCCATTTTCCAAAAGCATCAACTGAACCAGGCCCTGGGGGACAGTGTGGTAAAGGCAAACCAAGGCAGATATGGAGAGATGAGGAAGGTATTTGAGCAACAATCCTGACTGCAAAAACCCACAAACAACCAAATACCACCATTATGGTTTTTACTTTAAGTCAATACATTTTTATTTAAGGAATTTTACATGTGATTCATTCCACTGTCCATCAGGGTCACCTTAGTTCTTCCAAATCTTGAGCCAAGATTTATCTTCAAGATAGGCCTTTCTAGAGATTCATGCTTAATCCACAGTCGTTCTGTCCATCTTAGTTGGGCTTCTTTTATCTCCACTTGAATACAGACATACTGATGAAATACTTTAAAAACTTCCTACCCAGAATCTTTAGGGTCTAGTTCTTCAAATAATTCACTTTAGGGCCCTAGCAGTTGAATTGTGGAAAGCATATTGCTATTTTGGCTAATGAGCACAAATGTATTATTCTTTAATATTTTTCTAACGTTGAAGTTGTGTTGCATCCCATTTTCACTCGTGACCTTAGCAGAAATGTTACAGGTCTCATTGTCACCACTGTGATGTGTTTGCTGTGATGGAAACATAGCTTGTTTCTCAATGTAGCCCCATTAACAATCTTGGGATGGCATGATCAACAGTGCCTATTCTCCTTGAGAATGGGGCATCACCTTCACAGTTGTAGGATAAGCTATGCAGATGTGACTGCCTTCTTTTGTCATAGTCCAGGATAGTTTCTCATTCTTTTTTCTCGAGATGGTCAGGCGCTGTCATTGCCCTGTGTGCAGTGTGCCATGGGTGTCTCTTCTCTACTTAGGAACTGTCTTATTTCCTCACCTCTAATCTGAGAATAGCAGATGACCAAAAAATCAATATTGGATCTATCAAAGGGAACTGAGTATGGGCACCCCTATGTGGCCTGCTTCAAGCTGGATTCAATGATGACCCAAACAGATGTAGATCCTGACCATGCAGATGTTATTGTCTAGGGGGAAAGATCAATTAGTGTAAGTGTGATAGGGATCAGGACTTGAAAGATAAAATTCCAACATCCAGAACAACCATTGTGGGACCCTATAACCCACAAAAAGTAGGGGTTTGCCTTCAGGATATACTAGGGCTGAGCCTCGGGAGGACCCTGAGAAACTTCATCTTGAGGTCCTGAAATGGAAGATCTCTTTGCTTCCTGGGACCCCAAGACCCACTGCAGAGTTCTGCCTGGCTTTTCAGCATATACAGAAAGCTGGCTGCTTGTTGTGTACACTGTTAGAATTGCACATGCACTTTAGACATTGGCCATTCAGCTTCCAAGGCAGGCTATGGAGGCCACAATAAGCGAAAGCTAAGGAAACAAGTCCAATCCACAGTTAAGTCCTGACACCTATCACACTTATTGATCTTCCCTCCCAGAATAGCATCTGCATGGCCAGCATCCACATATGTTTGGATCATCATTGAATCTAGCTTGAAGTAGGCCACATAGAGGTGCCCATATTCATCCCTTTGATTGATTCAATATTGATTTGTTGCTCATTCAGTGCCCATCTTCATTGACTATCCTCTGCTTGTCCTTCATCTGCATCTTCCTCTGATCACATGCCAGCTGCTTCAGCCACCTCGGGCTTGTCACTGTTCTCTAAGCACTCCCACTGCTTAATGATCAGGTTCTCTTTGCCTGAAATATCCTTTCCTGCATCACTGCCTTCTCCCACACCTACTAAGCTCCTACTCAATCCTCAAAACAATTCCAAATGCCACCTCCTCTAGGAAGCCTTCCTAGATCACCTCAGAATTTTTTATTCCTCCATTTCCTGTCCTCCCATAGAACTTACACAGTATGTGACATTCCACTTGAATATGAATTATATTTTTGTCATTGCTCCCATATGTTATAAAACTTGATGTGGGCAAAGATTTTTATCTTACTGGTCTTCATACTTGAATGTTTGGGGGAAGTCCATGAACTTGGCCTTTTTAATTCCTAGGTCTTTCTGGGTATGCAAACTTAGACTATCTAATATGTCTGAGTTTCACTATTTCTACCTGTAAAATGGGCATTTTTTAAAAACTTGTGATAACAAGTTTATTGTGGGCATTAACTAAGATGACTTGTATGAAGTAATAATGAAAATAAAATAATAGTAATGAGAGCTGATATTGACTAAGTGTTCATTTAGCCACTGCTCTGCTCTTTACAAGTAGGTCATTTAAAACATTTTTTAAAATTTTGAAATAATGATAGATTTGCAGGAAGTTGCAAAGATGGTACTGAGAGATCCCATGTAAAGATAGAACTGAGAGATCCCTTTCACCTGGTTTTCTCCAATGTTTACACGTTACATAACTATAGGACAGTTTCAGAACCAGGCAACTGACTGTGTGAGTATTATTCTGTGTCCTTTTCTCACTTGTGTAAATTTGTGAGAATCTTACACAATCACCACCACAATCAAGATACAGAACTCTCCCATCTCCACAAAGATCTCCCTTGTTCAGCCCCTTCAGAGTCATACGCACCCCTCTCCCTTCCGCCACCCCCAGCCCCTGACAACCAACTATTAATATGTTTTCTATCTGCAAAATGTTGTCATTTCAACAATGTTATCTAAGTGGAATGGCAAAGTATGTGACCTTTTAAGATTGGCTTTGAGATCCATTCAGGTTGTCTGTCTATAGTTCATTCCTCTGTTCCTGGTGAGTTCTGTTCCGTGGATGTGCCACCAATATACCACTGATATACACTGATATACACTGATACATGACTGACAGACCATGGTTTAACCAGGAAAAGTATCTGGGTTGTTTCCAGTTTTTGGCTTTGACGTATAAAGCAGCTATAAATATTTGTGTATAGATTTTTATTTGAATATAAGTCTTCATCTCACCAGGATAAATGCTTGGGGGTGCCATTGTTGAGTTACATGTTTAGTATATGTTTAGTGTTTTAAGAAGGAAGTCAAACTGTTTCTGAGAGTGGCTGTACCATTTTACATTCCCACCAGCAATGTATGAGTGATTCAGTGTCTCTACATCTTTGCTGGAATTTGGTGTTGCCACTATTTTAATTTTATCTGTTCTAAAAGGTATGTAGTGACATCTTATCATGGTCTGACTTTCCATCTCCCTAATAGCTAGTGATGTTGAGCATCTTTTCACTGCTTATTGGCCATCTGTATATTCTTTTCAGTAAAATGTCTCTACATGTCATTTACCCATCTTCTGGCTGGATTGTTTGTTTTTTAATGTGGAGTTTTTAGTATTCTTTATATATGCTAGATATGGGTCCTTTGCCAGCTATGGTATTTGCACAATTAGTTCAATTAATCCTCATAACAACTCATGAAGAAGATACTAGGATTATCCCAATTTAATAGATGAGGAAGTTGGAGCACTGAGAGGTTAGCACTGCGTGTGGCACACAGCAGGTTTCCAGGGACATATCACAGTGAGTTTCATGCAGATGGAGCTCAGACCAAAGGTGTAAGTACCTCAAGGTACTTTGGTGGAATGGTGGGGCTGTTGGAGATAAGGAAGAGGAGCTGAAAGTGAAGGCCAGCAATGAGTAGAGGGACTTCATACCAGGCCATCAGCCCATTTAACAGGTTGAGGAGTTGAGGCACAAGCACTAGAACAGATTGCTATCTGTCTGTTTCATTAAGTTTCTGTAAGTTTCACTAAGTCTGTGAAAATTGTGTCTCTTTTCAACCTTTCTCCTGTGCTGCAAGGTTTGATGGTAGCGGGCTGGTTTCTACTTCAGGGCTTTTTTTTTTTTTTTTTTTTTTTAAAGAAGGGATTTCTCCTGTGCGTTCTCTTTCTGGGGCACATGGAAGCAGGCTGCTGCTGCTGTCATGGAAAGCACAGGAACAGGAGTCAGGATACCAGGTGCTGGTCCCAGCATGGTAGTGAACAGTGTGGGAATTGAATGCAAATCATTTCTCTGGGTTTTCTATCTCCATATCTGTAAAATAGGAGTGACAACAGCAGCTAGCTGGCAGGGTGATTGTATAGATTAAACAGAGAGGAGAGGAGGAGAACAGGGGCGTTGGTAACACTCATGGGTTCAGAGTGGAACTCTTTCCTGTCTAACCATGTAAACCTGAGCAGTGTGCTTAACTTTTCTAAGCCTGTTTTCTTATCTGAAAAACAGGGACAATCACAGTTTCTACTTTATGGGCTTGGTGTGAGGATTAAATGAGATATTGCACATAAAGCACTTGCATAGATCCTCTCTCAAGATGAACATGATTAATAATAACTAACATCTATCAAGCACTTACTTTGTGTCAGAATCTGCTTAAGTT